GTTTTCAAACTTTTGTATCTTCTGCCCAACAGATGAGGGTGGGAGAGAGTATAACCAGGGTAATTAGTTTGTGAGCCTCAGTGACAAACGTCTCAGGGCACTTAACTGCAACAAAAAAGTCACAACCAGGTCCAAACCTATACAGACAGGAGGAAACAGAGATCCCGTTCAACTGAAGCAACAACAAATTTTACTTCAAACTCATACTGATAACAAGTAGCCAAAGCAGCCACACATTTATCTGTACTGGAAATTGAGCATTAATTACTTGAAGCAATTAAATTGTACTAAGGTTGTTTAAATGATTTTCTCTGTAAAGGCTGGAGTCAGTTATCTTTTCTGTTACAGTTCTGGCATGAAAAAAAAAGACCATAGGTTCTTGTTGCAACAGCTCTTCATTCCAAACCAATTACTACAGTGGAGCGAACACTGTCAATAGATCCAAAGACATCTTCAGTGTTATTAAAAAGGTTTCCAAATGATTTAGTCTTAAATGACCTAAATGTAATTAAAATACTATTATATAAAAATAGGGACTGAATAAATGAAGACTGAGTTAGACTGACATGTCCTGATCCATTGATCTGGTCTCCAGCCTTGCCTATATTTAGAAAAATCCCCATGAACAAGATCATAGGACAGCAGCACATGAAGATTAATCTTATTTTAAAAAGAATTTGTGCTCAGGAAATGCCCACAGACTTATTAAAAGTATAACAATAGGAAGTGGGGACAGCGCTGTTGCCTCACAGCACCAGGGACTCCGGTTCAATTCCAGCCTCAGGCAACTGTCTGTGTGGAGTTTGCGCACTCCTTCCGTGTCTGCGTGGGTTTCCTGTGGGTGCTCTGGTTTCCTCCCACAGTCCAAAGATGTGCAGGTTAGATGGATTGGCCATGGTAAATTGCCCATAGTGCCCAGGGATGTGCAGGCTGGGTGGATTAGCTGTGGAAGATAGAGCATTAGAGAGATGGGGGTGGGGTGGTGGTGGGTCTGGGTGGGCTAATCTTTGGAGGACCAGTATGGACTCAATAGGCCTGTTGAATGGCTTGCTTCCACACTAGGAATTCTATGATTTCATGTATACATTTTTAATGGATTTGTCTGTGTAAACTCATTAGGGGTGAAAAGAAGCATCACTGGGCTGTTCAACCAAAAAGCCCACACCACAGTCAAGCATATACCTAGTCAAGCCTGATCCTCTATCTCATGGCCACACACTTGAACATTTCAACCGTGCTCCGGATCACTCAGCTTAAGTTTCCACAAAAAGAAGAATGCTGCTCTAACTTAAAAGCAGGCTAGAAAAATATGAACCAGCAAGATGTAATCTGACTGGCTTATCTACTGACATTTGTAGTCCCTCATCCATTAGTCATAAACAGGGTCTGTAGCTCAACATTTTCATCTCCAATTCCTCCTGCTGAGGCTCACTGCAACATCCGTCTGTATAATATCTAAAATATCCATTAAAAGTAGAAGGAAGTTAAATAGATATTTAAAACAACTGAGATATAGGGACAGATTTTCATGAAGTTGAAAATGGCAGGTGAAATCTGGGTGCAAGGTCCCAGTCCTCCGTTTCTGACAAATCCATGTTTATTTGTCAGCAGGGGTAAGAGGATGGGTGTGAATCCCACAGGCGAGGAGCCCACACGCAACAAGGCCATCCAAAATTTAAACTGAAGTCACGAACAAATGTTCACTGTTCCAATGGTCTTAACTCACAGTGCAGTAGTCAGAGATTTATGAAGTACATGTAAATGCCCTCACAGGGCATACAGAAGGTCTGTTTAAAGCATCATGATCTCAAGTTATTTAAATCCTTAGTACTTTAAACATGAAAAAATAACTGTGTCTGTCAGAGTTAATAAAGCACCATCTGATGGATTTCTTTGAGTGACAGGCCATCTAATGCAGCCTAGAGACAAATCTATCCTGTAGTTTCAAGAGTACATTATTGACAACTGCTGCCAAGACCATAAGAAACATTTGGCTCAGTTTCAAAAACTCTAAAAAACACTTACTTCAGCCGGGGATGTGGCATACACGTTCTGAACAACAGTTTAAAGATGCTTTTAAAGAATTGATTACTGATGTGGTTACTGTGTAGAGCTTTTTATATATAACACATTGACTACATTAGGAGATATTAAAATCTTTCAACGGTTTTCATGAAGGAGAGTTTTGTTCAATTGCGTTATTTATGTGCTTTACTCAAATGTTAGTATAAATTTTTTTCATCTCCACATGACCCATGAGAACTGTCCCACAGTGGATGACTGGCCATGGGCATGCCATATGGACGTAGAAGGTGGTTTGCGAGAATACAATGGAATGAACATGGATGAGCATGAGTTGGTATGTGGGCATGGGGCTGCATAGGATGCAGGTGGGGAGTTGGTGATAAATGAAATTGGGGGGTGATATCAAGATGGTGTAATGACTTCTAAAACAACTGCATCAAAGTTTCTTCTCACCAACGGGGGTAGGGGAGTTCAAAACTAGAAGGCATAATTTTAAAGTGAAGGGAGAAAGATTTAAATGAGACGTGAATAGCAACGTTTTTTTTGCACAGAGGGTGGTTCATGTACAGAACAATCTGCAAGAAGTTGTAGTTGCAGGTACAGTTACAGCATTTAAAAGACATTTGGACAAGGCACATGAACAGAAAAGGTTTATAGGGAAATGCAGGCAATTGGGTCTACTTTAGTTTGGAATACCTAGTCAGGATGGATGAGTTGGATCGAAGGATTTGTTTCGATGCTGTACATCTCTGTGGCTCTATAACCCACCTCAGGACTCACCCACCCTGTAACTGCTTCCAATCTGCTTCTGCAGTTTGCAGACCTGACCCAATCCCATCCCGCCTCCCCAGAGTGAAAATCAATGGATGCTTTACACAAAGATGGGTCTGATGAGTTAAATTTCCCAGTCACAGGAATTTATTACCTAAAAGGAGATATAATGTAATTAAGTCCACCCAGCATTCAGTGCTCCTTTCAAGATGCTTTTCATGCAAGAAACAGTTATTAGAAATTTTAAGACCTTGCTAGCAACTTGGGTACTGAAATATTAATTTGTAACTACATCACCAATAGGATTATGTTATAATTAAATTGCTGGAGCTTTCAGAGGAACCAAAATATTGCACATCATCAACAACTGTCTGATTTATTTTACAAGTTTGTGTGTGTATATGACAGAGAGAGTCAGATAAAGATCACCTTTGCAAAGTGTTGCAGAGAAGAGAGTGAATGTAAAACAGTTCTGAAATACAGCAGCTGTTTTGAATGGATACAAGTGAAATGGTGTGATTTCCATAGGCTCCCTTCAATTGCTTAGAAATAAATAAATGAGATGCTGCAACTGCAAACTCCCCAAAACCACTGATATTGCAGGATCATTACTGCAAATTCTCATGCTTCCTTTTCCACCTCCAGAAGCTAATTAATTTAGTTCCACACATTACCCGAGCTATAGAATGTGTGTTCATGACAGTGTGAAGGAAGTACGCAAGTCGACATACTCTTCAGTTAGCACAGAAAGAACTGAATTGCATTCTCAACTCTGGCTAACTACACTTTACCTCTGAGATCACTGGATTATTATTGGAAGCTGGATCCCTGTCTGATTAATTCCAGCAGTACCAGTGTTTTCACCTCTCTTCCCAGTGGCCTGGCCAATATTTATTCTTCAAACAAATTGCTAGAAAAGGCTACCTATTCATTTTCTCACTATTATTTGTAGTGATTTAGTATGCACAAATTGGCTACTTGGTTTCATACATTACAATGGTGACTATGGTTTGAAAGTATTCATTAGCTGTAAAGCACTTTGGCACATTCTGAGGTCTTGAAAATCAATGTGAGACTTACCTTCTTGCTTATCAATCCGAAAGGGTGAGTTTAACTCTTTATTCCCTCTTGGACCATACAATCACACAGCACGGAAACAGATCCTTCGGTCCAACCAGTCCATGCCGAACATAATCCCAAACTAAACTAGTCTCACCTGCCTTCTCCAGGCCCATATCCCTCCAAATCTTCCCTATTCATATAGTTATCCAAATGTTTTTAAACATTGTAATTGTACTCACATCAACCACTTCCTCAGGAAGTTCATTCCACACACGACCCACTCTCTGTGTAAAAAAATTATCCCTCATGTTTTTTTTAACCTCTCTCCTCTCACCTTAAAAATGTGCCCCAGTCTTGAAATCCCCTATTGTAGGGAAAAGACGAGACAGGTTCCTTTGTTTAAACACCTATTCATGCATGCCTGGGAGGTGTTCAGCTCAAATATTTATTACAAGAATAAAAGGTTTTGCACTATTTTACTGAAAACAAACTTCCAATTGATTATTCCAATGGATGATAATTTCAAAGCGAAAAATTACACATTTATTTATCCATATCTTTACACAATTGTCTTCACACAGTTTACATTCCATGTTAGTATACAGACTATACTGTTCAATCATGTTTAAACTAATTCATATGATTTCATAATCTGTTAATCCAAAAGTACTGAGGCCAACTACAGAATATCAATTAACACCTTAACTAAGATCAGTTAATTTACAATGGACCAGAAGTTCAACCTGGTTCGTATAGCTTAACAATTGTCTGTTAAATTGTCAGCTGACAATTTAACAGACAATGATCAATATTACGTGTGTCTTCACTGGAAGAAGGGTTAGAATCGGAAGACACAGTTTTAAGATTATTGGCATAAGAATCAAAGGGGAAGTCAGGAGTTTATTTTTATCTCTCCTGATCTGGAATGCTGGGCCTGAAAGTGCAGTGGAAGCAGGATTCAACAAAAATCTTTCAAAAGGGAGGGGTTATATGCCTTTACAGAAAACATTTTCAGGCTAATGTGGCAAGATTAACAGGAGTCAGGCCAATTGGACAGCTCTTTCAAACAGCTGATATAAATGGTCCTGTAAGATTCTGTAAGTTGTAAACTAGTGTTCACCAACTAAAGAAAGCAAACATACCGTATATCCTGCCTTGGCACTGAGATGTTCTGCAGCTACCACCAACGCATTGAGGGTGGCACCACCACTACCAACACGAGTCTGTGGATCCTCCACGGTGAGAAGAACTACATCAGGAGCAATGGATCCTTTGTGTTGGCGGATTTCAAGTTCTAGAAAGAAAATGGACGAGACTCCAGTGAAAATGTTATACTGATAAGCCATCAGTGACAATCTTTATGTGGAATTAGAGTACTGGTTTTCATTCATTGGTTTTCACCCTAATGAAAGGCTAGCCATGCTGCAGTGAGTTACCCATCTCCTGACCCAACAAAGCCTGTCAACCATCTACAAGGCAAAAATTATAAGTGTGACAGAATACTCACCATTTCCATGGATGAATGCAGCTACAACACACAAGATGCTCAACAGTGGCAAAGCTGTCTGCTCAATTAGCACCCCAATGCCACCTTAACCATTCATTCCCACCACAGCTAGCATGGCATAGCTGCAATCGGTATCATTTACAGGATGCACTGCAGTAAGGCTGTTTTGACAGAATTTTCCAAACCACCTTAGGAGTACAAGGGTAGTAACTATCTGGGAACATTTCCACCTTGTCCTTCAAGTCTCACATTAACACTGTATTGGACATTTATTGTTATTCCTTCCTCACCACAGAGTCAAAATCCTGGAAGTTCTCACTTAGTAGTACAGTAAAAATACCTCCACTGCAGAGACTGCAACAATTCAAAAAGAAGGATTACCACCTCCTCAAGTGAATCTAGGGATGGACAATAATTACTGCCTTGCTAACAATTCTCATATTACAAGGATAAGTCTTTAACAAGTGTGTTGACTTAAAATACTCTATAAAAACAAAGTAAGCTAGCACTTGAAATAAACTGTTTTAAAATAACAGTCCCTCCAACATATTTAACACGCTTGGCAAGAAGGTTTATTTAAAAAAGTGGTACCAACAGGTTAGGAGGAGTATAAACACAGAAAGAATTACCTTGGTTTATATAATTTTGTGATAAAAATGCAGCAACTGTGTCCATTTGGATTATATTTTAATACTTGCGCCTGTCATGTTATACTGGGAAACTGATATTTCAAACCGTAAGAAATGCACAAATCAGGTGGTTCAGTGGTAGCACTGTAGAGTGTGTCTCAGAAGGCCATGGGCTGATGTTTCTCTCTAGAGACTTCAATTCAAAATCTAAGTGTAGTACTGAGGGGGTGCTGTTCTGTTGTGGAAAGCTTCCAATTGAAACATTTACCCTACAGCACTTGCTGCTCTCTTAGATAGGAAGAATGGCATAAAATTGTCTATAATGGAAATTTGAAATCTAATTTGAATAATAGTGGTTTCAGTTGTGAATTCATGGAAAAGGAGATGGAGTTGAACTGGCAGAGAAAGAATTTTTCAGTGAGTCAGGTGAGTATTGTTGATTCAGTCCATACCTTTGTATAAGATTGATTTTATTCAGTCTACTAAAAGGAATAATGCATTAGTGGTTTGATTTACATAGAATTTACTCCACAGAAGGCGCCCTTCAGCCCAACTGGTCTATGCCAGTGTTTATACTTCACACCAGTGTCCTTCCACACCTCTCCATCTAACCCTAACAGCAATAACCTTCTATTTCTTTCTTCCCATGCATTTATCTAGCCATCCCTAAAATGCATCAATGCTATTCACTTTACCTGTTTCATGTCATAACACATTACACAACTCCTATCCCATCACTTTAATTATGTTAGAGCTATTGAAGATCCATGGTTGTCTTCAGTACCACTCATAACTCCTCAGATACCGAACAGCTTGTGTTGCGATTAAAGTTTATAATATCTTATTATTATTTGGGAATTTGGGTTCCAAAGTAGAGATAAATAGGTTTTTGGTTTTCTATTCTGTGAAGATGACTTTTATTTCAAAGATTAAGAGTCAGCTCAGGTATGTGGCATACCCCTATACCAATATGTCACACAGCATACCAATATGACTTCCTGTTCCCAACACAGGCATTGCTAATTTTCACAAGCCATGACCCACCAGATAGGAGTAGACATTCTCTTCAAGCCCATTCCACAGCTGGACTTTACTCTTTCTAGAACTACGTGGTCCTAATCAGTTCTCCAGAACTCAACATTTCTCTCTGCATTTACAAAGTGAGTTCTTTGGTTAACCACAGTAGGCCATGTTTTAGCAATCAAGTCCAACATTCCTCTGTTTACTGACATATTAGAACCAAAGACCACTAGTTGTTCATTTAAAACACAGCCACAACCTCAGCAACTAGCTCCATAACAACCTCAGGGCTTTCTTGTTTCTAAAAGCCACTAAGTTAGGTCAAATGTCTAAACCTTGTTTACAAACATATGAAGGCATAATAAAACAAACTGAAAGTAAACAACCACGAATTCACCTCAAGATGAAACTCTATGTTTTTAATCCTCAAATGTAGCTAATATGTAGACAATTACAACACTATCTTAGAAAAACGGCAGAAAATGCTTGGGAACACAGTGACTTGGAAGTTTCCGTCCAATTTACATAATCCTGATTTGGAAATACTTCACTGATCTTTCACTGCCAAAGTGCCAAAACCCCCTTCCTGCCAGCACTGTCAGTCTGCCTACACCAGATAGGCTCCAGCAGTTCAGGGAGGTGGCTGACTGCCACCATAAGGCCAAGTGGAGACAGGAAATAAATGCTGGCCTTGCCAGTGATGCTCACATCCCATGAAAGAATGAAAGAAAGGCAGAATATAATTGATTGAAGGGATTACGTCTGCATTTAAGGGCTGGTTTCGTGGAAATGGTTCCAGGAAATATAAGGACTTGGGTTTCCTGATCAGCAATTCAGAATACTCGAGTGCCAAATATTTCATGGCCTTGCTAGGCTGGACAGTCAGCCCATCTGCACTTTCCAATTAATGAATCCATCAGAACATTCAATCTGTGCAATACGGTTTTTGTTAGGAAAATTTGGTCGAACATTCCCCAGCTCATCAAAGTTTGACATTGCTGAATGAATGGTACTAGGAAGAAAGTAGGCCAACTAAAACATCTTGCACTGTGTCATGGCAATTCCATTTTGCACCCATTCAGACAGTCAGATATGACGTGGAGTTAACATCTTCTGCAGTCAACAATTCCAGCACTGAGTATAACACTGAAATACAGTGCAGATTATGTTCTGTATTGAGGCTCGAACCCATATCTCCTCATTCAAAGGCAATATCACAAGTAATTTGATGTGTGATTTAGTCTAGAAAAGTAATTTTTGGTGATTCAAGAGGAAGACAAAAATATTGGCCTGTTCTTTGAGATTCGAATGTCATTTCATTATTGCCTGAATGTTCCTGATTGAGTGCATTCAATCAGATTTCTTTTCCTGTGCTATTTTATGAATGCTCCTAATTCCACCTGAGAATGTTTCTGTGACTAATGATGGATTTTGAACAATCACCAGCACCTCAGAGGCTCTCGAGCAAATTCTAACAACCCCTGATGCCAATATAGCTGCATCTAGCTAGATCAGAATAGACCAGGGGAGGGGGGTAATGAATTTGGGTCACTGGGCCACATTTACCAAGGCAAGTGAGCAGGCTGTGTCAAAAGATTCTCTGCTTTGCAATTAGTCCTCAGCTGAGAAACTGAGGAAAAAGAAATTAAGTCTTCATTTCTCTTTCTGTTGCTCAGGGATTTCCAAAGTTTTCTGGGGCTGGGTCTGTGTTTTGTGGAGCACTTGCTTCTGGAGAAGCTACAAATGAATTAGTCTTTGGGCAATGTGATGAACATTAGCTCACCACGCCCAATGCTTCCCACCTCACTTTTCTGAGCTAAGGCTGAAAAGAAACTTGTGACCACGGATGGAGGGTCTTGCCCCTGCCACAGAACAAACTCAGATCCTCCAGTATCATAAGAGACTGGTAGTTACACACTGAAGGGTGAGAATACATAGGCTTCTTCTTGCCTATTGATGTAGAAAAAAGTTATGGAATCTGAAAGGTCCCTGCTGTATTTTGTCATCTTTTCAGTCCACAGGCTCAAGGCCTCCAGCTATCTTTGACAGAGCAGGCTGAGGGATTTTGCTTCACGTATTAAGGCCACCCGAGAAAAAAGTGGAACCTAAAGACCTAAAACTAGAACACAGCTTGTACATCAGGAACCTCAAGAGGAAATGCAGCCACAAAGTGTTTTCAGGGTCGAACTTACAAAGATACAATGGGGCATTTAATATAATACATTTGACTTTATCATCTTTCTCATTCATCTTTATTGTAAAATGTTAAGACAAGTTTACAAGTTGTTTTATGACAGCAATTGCTGTAAACTTTGTTACTCTAGGAATAACTTAGGTTATGGTTCGGGATTGTGAATTGCAAATTTTCTTTTCTGTCAAAATATTCTGGCTTTTGGGCAGATCTCTCAATCCATGACAGTATTTCAGTTTATGATAATTCTATCTTGACAGATTTCTGCATATCACTCTTGAAACTGCTTTCACATTAATTCTGATCCACGAGTTCTCTGTAGCCTCATGACACAGGAGCAGAGAAACTAGTACATGAATTTATTACTGGTCTGCAGCAAAAGGATTTGAAATCCCAAGTGTTAGGAACCAAATCCAGGGACTGTGGGCTTCAAGAATCTAAATCAATTGTACAGTAGGTACGTGACCAGAAGAAGTGCTACATTGTTGGAGATGCCTTCTTTCATTTAGGATGATAAACTGAGGCCATATATATGCCTTCTTCAGTGACAATAAAAGAGCCCTTGGCATTATTTTGAAAAGATCAGGGGAATTCTCCCTGGTGTATTTGTCAATAAACACTGACATTGCTAAAACAGATAATTTGGTCTCTACCACAGTGCTGTTATGGGAGCTTTCTGCATGCAATTAGCTGCCAAAGTTCCCATATTACCATAGTAACAGGACTTCAGAACTACTTCACTGGCTCAGAAGTACCTTAGGGTGTCCTTAGATTGTGAAAAGCACTATATAAATGCCAGCCCTTTTTGCCTAACAAGCCTTCAGTTATCAATTCATGTGATGTGATCTGACAGAGCTATTGTAATGACTGTCAATCTGCAAAGAAAGATTTGGAAACAAATACTTTTTGGAACATTAGCATTTCGCCATGAAAGAAAAACACTTCTA